TTGAGGTGCTCCTGGACTCTTTTCTACTGCTACGGACAGACTAACACGGCTACCCATCTTCGTCGGCCTCAGACACTGATCAGAACTCACAATGCCCAAACAGAAAGGCCTTGCGTCATTTCTGGATGATGGCCAGACTCTGACAAACGTGAAGAAAGAAGCAAGGAGCTGGAAAGATCCCAGTGGCCAAACAGACTCCTGAGAACAGGGCTGGAAAGCTCCCAGGATGCCTGCTGCCTGCATATTTAGGGCTGGCGCCCAAGAATTAAAAATATTTGTTCAGCCCTCTGCTGATCTGGCACTGAAACACGTGATGCTGGCTCCCGGGGATGTGAAATATATTCCCAGTCCTGAGTGATAAAGCATCACTACAGCCTGGCTTTAAAAAAGAATAAAAAATCCTGCAAGTCTGGAACTCATAAGAGGGCACTTTTGCTTGGGGCACAGACAAGGGCATGAGCAAGCTGTAGGCCCTTTGCGTCCTTATCCGACAGAGCTGCCTGTCTCAGGAGCCTGAGCAGCTTCCTTCGCCCTGTGCCTGTTCTTAATGCAAAGCGGTCTCTGCTGGGTGAGAAAGGAGCACAAATCTGCAGCCAGAGTGGTTGGGGATGGAGTAAGAGGATTTTGGAGTAAAGCAGGAATATGGTCAGTGGCTTACAGGAAAGCACCGGTGGTGCAAATATCACGTGGGGCTTTTTGGTGCTGCCTCGGAACACTGCACTGAGTTCCGGGTAGGCACAGACTACTGCATGCAAGGGCAGAAAGAAATGGACAACGTAACGTGGGAAGGGATTTCCGTGACAGAATAATGGGTCAGACTCTCTTCTCCTTTGTGTTAAGCGAGAAGCTTTCCTTTGCCACTGCAAGACCCCTTCCGCTGGAGGCAAGACTCCTCTGTTAGTGGAAGGGCATCGTGGGATCCAACCCAACAGCTGATTTATTTATTTATTTTATTTTATTTAAATTTATAACCCGCCCTCCCCGCGAACGGGCTCAGGGCGGCGTACAGATGGGGCCAATGCCCAATACATAAAACATTAAAACTGCATTTTCAAAACATTCAGTGCAACATAAGTGCTCTCCACAACTATTAACAAGGGAACCGATGACGTCACCAGGGTGGTATCCTTAGTGGCCACAGCTCCACGCAGTGCCACCATTTTTGCACTCACGATGAGTTGGTAATAAGTTTGAAGAGGGGAGAATATTCCTAGCTTGTTCCCTATTAACGCTAAACTCAGTTGACCTTAAAGTTCCACCAAAGTGGTGGTGGTGGTGGTAAGTTCCATCAAGTCACAGCTGACTTGGAGCAACCCCATACAGTTTTCGAGGCAAGAGATGTTCAGGGGTGATTTGCCGCTGCCTGCCTCTGCGTCATGACCCTGGGCTTCCTTGGAGGTCTCCCATCCAAATACTAGCTAGACCCGACCCTGCTTAGCTTCCGAGATCCGGTGAGATCAGGCTAGCCTGGGCTATCCAGGTCACCAGAGTAGCTTCCTTTAAAAATGACGGCATAACAGCAGGCCTCGGGCATCTGCATCATGAACAACTGCCACGGGCTTGCTATGATGGGTCGTGCTGGATCTCAACCGGGCTCCAATGAATCAGATGGATCTGTCTCTCTTAATCAAAGGGGACATGTGAACAGTACTATTGAACAGTAATATTAAAGAGGGCTGCTTCGAGACTTTCCCACGAAAAGCTGGATTTCTCTGTAAACAAGGAAAAATTGCCCTTTGGCGCCAGCTAATTAGAAATAAACAGCCTTTACAGTGTGTTGTGCAGGGACTGGCAGAGGAACTGGACACACTTTTTAAACTTTTGGAGCCCACTGGTCTCCCCTTTAGTTTTTCCTTGTGCAGGATATCCAGGACGGTCCGGGTACAGCTGTGAAATGACTAAAAACACAGGTGGTTCTTCACCTTGCGCTTCAGACAGCGACATTCAAATTCTATAGGCCGGGAACAGATGCTGCAAATCCAGCCAGAGGGCGGCCTGGTCTACATATCGTGTTTCAACACAGAGGGATACAGTTGACTGGTACCCCTCCCGTAAAGACCCATTAAAAACAAGGACAGTTGTACAAAAGAAGAAGAGATTGGATTTATACCCTGCCCTTCACTACCCGAAGGAGTCTCAGAGCGGCTTACAAACTCCTATCCCTTCCCCTCCCCACAACAGACACCCTGTGAGGTAGGTGGGGCTGAGAGAGCTCTGAGAGAACTTCCCTTGAGAGAACCGCAAAGAGGACTTGTGACTGACCCAAGGTCCCACCAGCAGCTGCATGTGGAGGAGTGGGGGAATCGAACCCGGTTCTCCCAGATTAGAGTCCACACTTCTAACCACGACACCAGACATTGCTGCCATCTTTAAAACTAATTTCGGGTGGGTAGCCATAATGGTCTGCAGCGGGATAGCAAGACTCAAGTCCAGGAGCGCCCTAGAGACCAACGGGATTTTTGCGGCAGGAGCTTCCAACCGTCAAAGCTCCCTTCCTCAGGTACCAAAGGGAGTTTTGACTCTCAAAAGCTTATTCCCTGGAAATCCTGTTGGTCTTAAAGTTGCAGCAGAACTCAAACCTAGCTCATCTTTAGGACTACTTGTGTCTATTTTGTAATGTATGGAGGAATGATCTTTAGCACCTTTTGATTTATGATTTTAGGAACCACTGGTATTGAACTGTTTTAAAATGATTTTATATGATTTTATTGTAAAGTAAAAAAGGTAAAGGTTCCCTTGCTCGAAAGCCAGTCAAATCTGACTCTAGGGTTGCGGTGCTCATCTCCGTTTCAAAGCCGAAGAGCCTGCGCTGTCCGAAGGCGTTTCCGTGGTCATGTGGCCAGCATGACAAAACACCAAGGCGCACGGAATGCTGTTACCTTCCCACCGAAGTGGTCCCTATTTATCTACTTGCAATTTCTTGCTTTCGAACTGCTAGGTTGGCAGGGGCTGGAACTAGAGATGGGAGCTCACTCCATCATGCGGCACACTCGGGTCTCGAACTGCTGAACTACCGACCTTCCACAGCCTGCAGTTCAGTGTCTTAACCACTTGTATGTTGCACCAATTGTGTAAGCTGCCCTGAGTCTACTTGCAGGGAGGGCAGGTCATAAGTTGAATAAATAAATAAATAAATATTTTAGTGGTGTCCCTGTAAAGGATGTTCCTAATAAACTGCCCATGGCTAAGAAATCGAATTTATAAATAAACAAAAGACAGGAACATTATACTGCTCTTTCAAGGCTGAAAGATCACTCCAATTTGCTTCAAAACATATCCCAATTCTGAACCGGGGACAGCCAACATCAGGGAGCAGAAGACTTGAAGGCTGCCCCGAGACTTCCACTTTCCCTCTATCTTAGCAGCACACAATTTACAGCTTCTGGAAAAGCCAGAATCTGAGTGCAAACTGAGTGGGCTGAAAAACCAAAAGTCTTTAGCCAGATGCTGTTTTTCCAGTATCACTTTAAGCCCCTTTCTGAATAGTGGTGGTGGGCTAGTGCCGGGACACACAATGGAAACAGCAGAGAAAAGGCAAGAAAGGCGTTGATTAACGCAATCAACATACTCTCCTCTTGCCTCCTCCCAGAGGACACTGTGGCTGTGTCTCCACATGCCTCGCGTGGGAGGCGCACACCACGGCCCTGCGGGGATTGGGCCCTCCCTGAAGTTCTGCACGAGGGGAGGGGAGGACCGAGAAGGGGTGATGACTAGGAGGAGGTCAAGCAAGGGCAAAGATAGACAATGAGGAAACCTCCAAGAATCCATACCTACTGCCAAGTACAAAACCCTTCCCATTATTCCGAGGACTCCTATACACTCCATTAGTTAATATAGAAAGCTTAATTATTTCTGCAGTTTGGTATTTTTATTAAACGTGCACTGAAATACGAAACGTCAAGCTAATAGAACACATGTGGAGGTAGAGAGAGAGAGTTCTTTTTGGCAGGGTTTCTTTGGTTCCATGGATTATCATGCCAGAAAAACAAGACCTAAATTCAATGCAACTACCAGGGTGAAAAAAAATAATCAGACGGGGGTGGGGGGTGGGGGGAAGTGGCAACATGTTGCAAAAGAAGATGAGCCTGCAATCCCCCATGTAGGCTGAAACGTAGAAGCCCCAGAGAAAGGACATTCATAGACCATGACTGGCTGGCAGATCATAACAACACTCTGTTGCTGTTTGGAATGGTCCGAAGACAATACTGCACTTTGGAATGCAAGAGAATGGATGTAAAGGTCCCCGTGGTCCATCCAGAGAGGTACCCAAACTTATTTGGCCTACCTCCCCCTTTTCAGAAAAATATTACTCAGCACCCGCCTGGACATCTTCCTTCAAGAAGTGGACAAAAAGATGCAGTTTGTGGATCTGCACCTGGATCGTTCCAGCACCCCCAAGGGGGCAGTATTGTCCACTTTGGGAACCAGTAGACTACTGTCCCCCGACCATAAGTCCCCATGGTAAAACAAAGTCATTTCACAGGAAGGGGAAGAATCAGATCATAGCCCTGAGATGTCTTTTATGGCACCAAGACACTGGGGAGAAGACAGCAGCTTGGAGCATGTGCAGAATACTTCAAACTAATAACCCCAACCAGACACCCACTTAGCAAGACAGTTTTGAAGTTACTGAGATAAATTAAAGCAGATGTGAACAGCCTCTCTTTCTCACGATGATGATTAAGTCAAGTGTCATCTGTTTTCATCTTAGCATCATGCATCCCCATGTCTGCAAAGTTTGTTGACCACATCTGGCCATGCCGACAACCAAAACAGAGAAGAGCAACATCGTTTTTATTTAGCACAACATCAAGGAAGCCAAAACTCAAGGATGTTTAGGATACATCAGCGCTAAAGAGAGAAATTTGCAATAAACTAGCATCGCCTTCAGATCTGTCTACTATGGAAAACTTCCCAGCAAAAAACTTTCTTAGCAATTTGCAGGCAACGCCTGCTGGTAAATGGCAAACCTCAGCATTGCTCAAGAAGTGAATTCCTACCTGCCCATCTTGTCCGACATGAACCTGATGTATCTGCAAGTTACCCTGCAAAATAAATTAATAAGCAAATTGTAAACAAGCCAGGAACTGAAGAACCTCACAAAGAGATGCATATTTGCATCTTACAAGTGCTTCTCACTACTCATTCCTTTGGGGAATTCACTCTTTTTAGAAGCTCTTTGTAATGACTGCACCACAGGCAGAAAAACTGTACACAAAACTATTGTTTAAACTGTGGAAAAATGCTTCTAGCTGCAGGCATAGGTTCTGCATAAGGCACTTTAAAAAGGTCCCAACATTCTTTGCTGTGATTCTAAATACACTAAGCTAACGCATTCATTTTGCATAATGCACCCTGGTTGTGCTAGTCCCGGAGAGGCCCTCAACCACTAGCCACAATGACTAAAGGAGACCTCCACATCCAGGGGCAGATCTGCAATCATGCCTGGTGGTAATTTCCCATAGAATTTTCAAACAGAAGAAGCAAAAACAGCTTCCTTTAGGCTCTCAGCAACTATGAAGAGAACACCTCGATGGCTATGCCCTCCTCACAGGACACACACCCCTTTGTAGGTGAGCGTAGATCTGCCAGTATAAAGTTCTAAACCCGGAAGTGGCTCTTAGACTTGCCTTGCTGTAGTCTCAGCTCAGCAGTAAACCAAGTAAGAATACCACGTAAGTCGGGCACGCAACTGCAGGCCTGTGCACCTTCCATTCGTTGGAGCGGTTTGCCATGGGCTGAACTCACTTCGGAGGGTCTCGGTTACTATATTTTAGTTATGCTGAACATGGAGGTACTGCCGCAACAACAACTCATCTGGTCAGCCCGGCTGGCCAGAGGGACTGGGGCTCACCTCGCTGTCTTGCGTGATCTGCACCTGCTCTCCTTGTGGCACCTGGGCGATGTGGAGGTGACCCTGCGGGATCCGTGAGGAGAAAAAAGAAAAAGAAACACCAAGAAGCATCAGTCAGAACCAGAGGAATAGAGGTAGGTAAATTCTGTGGTGGGGGTGGGCACAGAACAGTAGCTTCTCTTACAGGTGTGACACGGTTCTATCTTAAAAGTAAACAGGTTACTGAATCCTAGGAGATAAACAGCTATTGGGATGCTTGCACAGTACTAGAACCTGACCTCGATACACAGCCTGTAAATTATCCATTGAAAAGCTGAGTATCAGGCTCTGTAGCAGAGTTTGGTCCCTTCCCAAGGAAAGAACAAACCTCTTTCTGACCCTTCCTAAATGTCTCTATGGAGCAAACATATATCCATCCTGTTCAAATCACAACAACAGTGAAAGTTCTGGACTGGTTGACTGGACGACACTGGGCCAACTGCCTTCTGACCCCATCCCACCCCCTTTCTTGCTTCAGGAAACCCCCCCCCCCCCGCCCCCCCCCCCCACCCATCCAACACTGCCTCAGGGAAACCAAAAAAACAGGAAGCACACTGGCTATCAGTAATGCCAGTAAGACTCGCCAGACATTTCTGGAGCTGTAGCAGGTCACAGAATGTTCAAGAACATTTCCAATGAGAATGGTACCAGGACAGGTTCAGCTAAAAAAAAAACCCCACACAGGCCTGGGGGACAGGAAAGGCTGTATGCCGCTGATCTGAACTATCCAGCCTAACCCTCTGAGCATGTACAAAATTTCAGCTATACATTTGTATTTTCAGCCTTACACTGCAAATTCCACTACCCACCCAACAGGTACTTGTTCAATAAATATCATAAAGAAACAGGAGACCCTGCTTGATAGGAACACCATGGCTTTGTCAAATTGTAAAAATGACACGTGAAAGGCAAGCCTCAAGACCACTCACACAGCCATCGAATAACTGCAGTCACAATAAACATATGGCATAGTTGAGTATAAAAGGACATGTGCCCTTGGTCCAGATTCCTATTCTGATGGGAAAGCACCCCCCCTTCGGCCCTCCGCACTGGTCCGGAAGGGCAGACTCCCAATCATTCACTACTGAAATTGTTTCAGTCAATACTAGCAGAATATATGGCCCAAAGAGTTTTAATAAAAGCCACTGCTATACATTGCTGACCCCTACAACTACTTCAGGAAGAAAATCAAACATATCACTTGATTAAAAAAGAAAAGAAAAGAAAAAGTGATTAAGGAAAGAGAAGAAACTTCCTTATGAAACCTATCTGGCCCTTTGCGAGAAAGATTTACCTACTGGTAAACTGGATGCTACTTTGGTTTTAAAAACTCTTTTGTGTTCATTTTCATACGCCTGTGTATGAAACCGAGATTAAAGATATCCATTTGGAATTCTGTCAAAGGCTCTTCCTATATTATAGTGCACCAACAATTGCACATGAATTTCAAAGAAACAGAGATCCTTCTATTTCAAACAGTTTCATTTCCTTTGGAAGGAAATGGTCTATTTATAGGGAGAAGCGGCACACTGAAAGTCTCAAACACGACAATAGGAACTGTATATAAAATTAGACCACGGATCCAATCCATGTCGAGATTAGAATCGCTTTCCCTTCACAATGTTAAACTCTTACTGGCTTCCAGGGAAAATCTTTAAAACATAAAATAACCTCATGAGGCTCTTTGCAGATCAGGCGTATGTCTCCAAGGAGGCAGGGAAAGACAGGTCTGCTCTGTTTGTTTTGGGGTCCAGAATTTGAAGAAAGAGCCATTCATTCCCCCACCAGGTAGTGCGGGCCTTCAAGATTCGTCCTGTTAAGTCCCTCGGGATGGCAACTGGAGCTGCTATACTCCAGAGTTTCTGCTCCTACCTACTGGACTGGATCCAGAAGGTGACCCTGGGAGATTTCTGCTCACCCTCTGGCACATCCATGCCATCCTGTCCCCCATCCTGTTTAACATCTCTCAGAAACCACTGGATTTGGTCATTCGGGGATTTGGGGTACAGGGACACCAGTATACTGATGACGCCAGGCTTCATTTCTGTTTTTCATTTGGTTGGGGGAGGGCCTCAGAGCCAGCTTGGTGTAGTGGTTAAGTGCGCGGAATCTAATCTGGGAGAACCGGGTTTGATTCCCCACTCCTCCACTTGCACCTGGATGGATGACCTTGGGCAAGCCATAGCTCTGATAAGAACTGTTCTTGAAAAAGAGCCGTTTCTGTCAAGAGCTCTCTCAGCCCCACCTCCCTCACAGGGTGTCTGTTGTGGGGAGGGGAAGGGAAAGGAGTTTGTCAGCCGCTCTGAGACTCCTTTGGGTAGTGAAGGGCGGGGTATAGATCCAATCTCTTCTTCTTCTTCTTCTAAACAAGTATCTTACATCAATAGTGAACTGGATGACGGGAAACAGACTGAAGTTCAATCCAGACAAGGGGCTATGGGTGAGTGGTTCATCTAGTCAGGGAGGTGATACGCAACCCCTTCTGGACAGGGCTGTGCGCCCCCAAAGGATCAAGTCTGCAACATGGGGTATTGGGGTCGGGTGGGGGCTACTGACTCTATTTACATCATGCCTTTTGAAAGGCCGATTTCATACTGCTGCTTTCTGGGTTGTTTTCCTGTTCTGTTTTTAGATTTTAACTGTGCAGTGTTTTCATTTTGCTGCCGAAAGCCGCTTTGCGAGTTTAAAATAAAATATGAAGCGAAACTGGAGTATAAAACCAACCTCCAGTTCACCGACGGGCATAAACAGCACTTTTAGAAACCGGGGGGCAGGGGACCTCTGAAGCGCCTTTGCACGAAACTAGGCCACGGTCCATCTGACTCACGGCGGTCTACTCTGACTGCAAGCAGCTCCCCAAGGTCTTAGGCAGAGAAGCCCCCTTCCCAGCACCTGCCACCTGGGATCCTTTCACGGGCCATGCCAGGAACTGTGCCAGAGGTGCAAAGCAAGCATTCCACAAGTAAGCCTCAGCCTTTCCCCAAACTGGAAAGAACCAAGAAGAGAGCCAGTCTGGTGTAGTGGTTAAGTGTGCGGACTCTAATCTGGGAGAACTCGAATCTGGGAGAATCTGGGAGAACCGGGTCTGATTCCCCACTCCTCCACTCACAGCTGCTGGATGACTTTGGGCAAGCCATCATTTTGTCAGAGCTGTTCTTGAAAAGAGCAGTTTATGTCAGAGCTCCCTCAGCGCCACCTACCTCACAGGGTGTCTGTTATGGGGAGGGGAAGGGAAAGGAGTTTGTAAGCCACTCTGAGACTCTGAGTGAAGGGCGGGGTATAAATCCAATCTCTTCTTCTTCAAGAACCCAAAGAGCGATTAACACATGGAATTCTCTGCCACAGAAGGTGGTGGCAGCTACTAGCATTGGCGGCTCCAAGAGGGAATTAGATAAACATATGGAGCAGAGGTCCATCAGTGGCTATTAGCCACAAGGTATACATAGGAACTCTCAGTCTGGGGCAAGGGATGCTCTGTATTCTTGGTGCTTGGGGGGGGGGCAACCGTGGGAGGGCTTCTAGTGTCCTGGCCCCACTGGTGGACCTCCTGAGGGCACCTGGTATTTTTGGCCACTGTGTGACAGAGTGTTGGACTGGATGGGCCATTGGTCTGATCCAACACTGGCTTCTCTTATGTTCTTAAGAACTCCCTCCCCTCCCACTGGGGGCAGAACTGAGCCTCAGCCATCTATGTGGTTGATGGCCAAAGAGATACAACTGGGTTGTCTAAAAAGTGATGCGAAGAGAACTGCAATTATCTGGAAACTTAGGAAAATACAGATTGGGAAAGTATGCATTCCCTCCACCTAACTGCGGGGAACGTATTTAAATTCCATGCTACATTGCACTTGATTTAATATTTTGAAACAAAGCTACAGAAGCCAAGGCAAGCTTTTCTGTGACCCACCAAGGCAATCTTTTTAAGAAACACACAAGCTTGAGACATGGTGGGAGTGTCACACTTAACTTTTAAACTTCCTGCCTTCTGTGGGTTTTGGGGTCAAAGTGTTAACTTTGTTTAAACTATTTGAAAAGGAATTTAATGTCAATGTTTATAAGCTTTGCTTATATACATGAATTTAAATGGATACACATGTAAGGAATTCAGCTAACAGATGTTGAAAAATGCTTCAGAACGCACTTTGGAAAAAATGAGGATAAATTAATCTCAAATGGATTTCCAGATTGCTAGCACTTGGGGAGGGAGTGGGGGGCACATGCATAATCAATGTCAACTATGTGCTTCACGTGGAAGGAACAAGTGGGAGACTTAAACGATCATTTGCATGCAAATGCATACGTCCATACAAAATGGCTGCTGTGCATGCTGACGGTGCATTTTTATTTTCCATGCAGACAATGCACCAACACGCTGCAAAAACGACTTTTGCGACGACAACAGCATGAACAAATGCAGCTAAAGAAGTCTTAGTCAGTGAGGCCAGATTTGTGAGGTTAACACTTATCTGCAAGTATGTACTATTAAAGCTGCTCTTGGGTTGCCAGCTCTGGGTTGGGAGATACCTGGAGATTTGGGAGGGGGGGGGGTTGAAGCTAGCAGAGAGAGGAGATTGGGGAGGGGGGAAGAAGAAGAGGAGGAGGAGGAGGAGGAGGAGGAGGAGACTGGGTTTATACCTCGCCCTTCACTACTCGAAGGAGTCTCAGAGCGGCTGACAACCTCCTTTCCCTTCCCCTCCCCACAACAGACACCCGGTGAGGTGGGTGGGGCTGAGAGAGCTCTTTCGAGGACTGCTCTTAAGAGAATAGCTCTAAAAGAACTTGTAACTTACCCAAGGTCACACTAGCAGCTGCATGTGGAGGAGTGGGGAATCAAACCCAGTTCTCCCAGATTAGAGTCTGCTCTCCTAACCACTACACCAAACTGAGAGACCTCAGCAGGGCACAGTGCTGCAGAGTCCACCCTCCAAAGCAGCCATTTTCACTAGGGGAATTGATCTCTATTGTCTGGAGATCAGTTGCAACAGCCAGAGATCCCCAGGTCCCACCTGGAGGATGGCAACCCCAGCTGCTCTGGGGACTGAACGCAATTGTACAGAATGAGTACATACTACTTGGACTTGTCCATCCTCTCCTATCTGATGGATCTGGACTTGTTGGGCGTTGGCCAGAGCATAGTGCAGAGCTTGTGGCTGGTTTGCTTGGATCTCGTTTGGGGCCGACGCCGTACTTTGAGCGCTCTCTGGAAAACAGACAAGAGAAGGCAAAAACAGGCCGAAAATCAAATCAGAAAGATTTTTAAAAGATTGCATAGATCATTCCACAATGTGTGTCATCAGCATGGAACGGATCCAGAGACCGTTCCTCTGCCCAAAGCATGAGTGGGTTCTATAATTACACCTTTTTTATTATTGAACTCAACTATATCTTCTCAAATTAATTAGACTCCGTAATACTTCCAAGAAGGGGGGGGAAATTATATGGCACCTTTTCACCCAGATGTGAGAAATGAAATTTTTTATCTGCTCATGTAACCCATTTCCACCAAATCTGTTTTATTAACCTAGACGCAGTTCCAGATTCATTAGCGCAATTCCAATTTGGAATGGGAGTTTTATCCCACCCCACCCCCCAGCCCATTTCAACTCGATGATTACCTTCAGTCCATCCAGTTGTGACTTCATGTTTCCAACAGGCTGTTCAAAACCTCTGCACAACTTAACAGCTGGTCAGTTTGTGTGTCCAAATCTATAACACTAAATGTTCCCATCTCCTCCCCCCCTTAGTAGCCACTTGAGCTTGCACCAGACTGAACGATCACACAGGAAACCGCCTCACTCATTAAATTGTTGCCATTTTGGAAGGACCTAGTTGCTGCAACCCTTAATTAATACGAATTTAAGAAAAGGGGGAAGGAGGATTGTGACAGTATATAACCCATATACAAATGATCAGACCCTTTCAAGTCACCTATGGAGATGATTCAAGCCCTAACCCTAATTCAAAACAAGAGCCGTAACTCTGCTAAGGAATCTAAAACAAGGAAGAGACAGCGGCTGGTGAACCCGCACACTTCTATGCCTGTGAGCAAGCATATTTCAAGGACTGACCCATGTTTTCTTCCTTTGATGCAAAGCATTTCAGCCCCCTCATCTCCACCCAATCAGAAGTTTCTGACTTCATCTGCATTCCCCGCCCGTCTCCACGCCCAGGAAAAAACAAGTAGTTTTGTCTGATATAATTCTCCTGCTCCAATATAAGCCCTGCCACTGATGTGTGCTTGATGTTATTTGAGCTGAATTTCAGTATCCTCCTCAATGAACAATTCCCAGTAGTGCAAATCTCAGTTTTTCTACAACCTCGCTGAGGAGACCTGTCACTATACCACAGACCCCTAAAACAGAATGTGGTGTCCCATCTGGACACGGTCCTCTAGCCATGTGCCAAGACCAAAGTCCAGAGCTTCTGCCTACGAGAGCATAAGGGACAGTGGGCGATCCTGCACCTGGCTATTTTTGCATGACTTGGACCAGTTGGAACGCTGCCATCGTTCACACGAATGCGAGCCTAACATGCACGTTGACACACCACACTTGGTGACACTGCATGAAATGTGCCAGAGTGCATGAAAAGGGACTATTACAAACACATCAGGATTAGCATAGAGAAATGCCCATCAACCAAAGCCTGCCACACGTCACACTGCTGAAAAGAATACACAAACCACACTAAGCCATGCATGTGATAATTGTGCATACTCCATGGAACAGATGCCATTAAAATAAGCAATGAATCGGCAGGGCTCAAGAAAACATCCCTTGTGGGCAATGCAAAAACTTTTTTGTTTGGGCAAATGCTTAGTGGGGCAGAAGTGTGAGCAGTAGATGTGTCTTCGATATATACGGTGGTGGTGAGAAGTCACAGCTGACTTATGGCAACCCCGCAGAGTTTTCAAGACATTCAGAGATGGTTTGCCATTGCCTGCTTCTGCGTAGTGACCCTGGACTTCTTTGGTGATTTTCCATCCAGGTACTAGCCAGGGCTTAGCTTCCAAGATCTGATGAGATTGGGTTAGCCTCGGCTATCAAGGTCAGGGCACACACACACACATGGAAGAACACATACACACACTCCTAAAAGAAAGAAAAACCCTGCCTCAGCAATGAGCATACTACCTTCTTGCTCCAAAAGAAAACTTCCTGCCAGTGCTGAGTTTCCTAGAAAAGACACTCCTCACAGAGTTACTCACTGACTCAAAAAATGTCCCCTTAATCCACAGATGCTTTTCGGTAACAAGACCTACAGCGCAGCAAAGCAGTCCTGAAATGTGTTTGCAAATGGAACAACACAAACAAAACCCACATTTGTTGCAGGCCAGCTGCATCCCTACAGATGATAAAGAACTATTTTTGCATCTCCCTGGATTAAACGATTGGGGGGGGGGGGAGACTGGTGAATGCCCTAATCACAGAATCCAAACAAAAGTCATGTATTCACAAGTACATTTCTGGCAAAAAGATATCCATGTGTAAACAGAATTTCAGCATCTGGCTGCGATGTCATGGCCTCAGATAAGAAGGGGGAAAGGAAGGGCAGAATTTAAACCCCGGATCAGCCTTTGCGCTTAAACTGCCCAACGTTTTGCCTTTTCAAAAAATCCCCCCCCCCCAAGAGAAGGCAGAAGAAATTTTTATCCATTTCAAAGGCTGCTTGCGGCCCACAGCTTGAATAAAGGTTTCACAATCACCAGGGTCCTGCCTATCTAAGGGACCGTCTCTTCCTGTATGTTCCCTCAAGAGCACTGAGATCGGGGATGCTCCATCGTCTGGAAGTTCCAGCCCCCCGAGCTGCGAGGTTGGCCCATACTAGATCTAGGGCATTTTCGGTGGCGGCTCCTTCCTGGTGGAATGAGCTCCCGGAGGAGATCCGGGCCCTGCGGGACCTAGTGCAGTTCTGCAGGGCCTGCAAGACGGAGCTCTTCCACCAGGCCTTTGGGTAGGAGCCGCCACCACCACCATCGACATACCACCTTCGATGAACCGTCCATCTACCAGATTCCATGGAGGAGATTAGTTTGATTGCGTTGGGGCGCTCTCACTATTAAGATCGTGGGCCGCAAATATGAGTCGCTGAGCATCTTATATACTGTATAGATTTGTATAGATTTGAAGCACCAGTTTTATTGCATATGTAAAATTGTTTTATTGTTTTACTATTTTAAACATTGTTGTTAGCCGCCCTGAGCCACTGGGTAGGGCGGGATAGAAATCGCAAAATAAATAAATAAATAAATAAATAAATAAATCACGAATCATCAAAACGTTAACAAAAAAACCTAGGCTTCCTTTTGCAGTTTGGATATATGGAGGGATTCATGGCTTGGAAGGAACTGAGCTGTTGTGATTCAAGCTGACCAATGCGGCTGTAACCGGGGCGGGTGAAAAGCCTCATTTCGGCTGCATCACCCCCTTCCTGGGGAGGTTAACCAGCCAAGGACCAGGCAGCAGTGTAGTGAGCTGCGATGCTAATATTCTGTGCAGATTAGGGGAGGGGGGGAGAAGCCTATGTGATAAATCTCTTCCAGATGCTCTCTTTCCAAAGCAAGGACCCCAACATGTTACGCCAGGATATAAAGAGAGTTTGCTTCTTTTTCTAAAGGACAGTCGTTACATTCTAAGCGCTTGGCAAAAAATTCCCAATACAGACAAGCAATGTACCTCTGTGGTCTATTTTTGGGAAAAGGGGAGGGGGGGGGAAGCTGCCTTGGAAAATCAGGACAGAAAACCTGTCAGACAAAAGTAATTCATAACGGCTCTTAAAGTGGGTGTTTGACTTTCAAACTGTGAAAATATGAATGTTCTTCGGCCCCAAAGACAAAACCGCAGCCTGTTGCCTCATCACTTTTTCCATTTTTAAAATTCTGTGCTGCCTCTTGGAATAATCCCGGCCTAATCCTGGAGAGGTTTATTGGGTGGGTGGGGGGGGGGGGGGGGGGGGGGGGAAGGCTACAAGCATCCCATAAAACCGGCAGGTCAAAAGTGGCTTTTCCTTCACCATCTGAACTCAATCAGCCGCTTCAAAAGAAAGGCCAGCCCCTTTGGCCTGCTCAGAGTCACCTGCTTGGAGAGAAGGCCCACAGCTGGCTGGTGCTGAGCTGGTTCGTTTGCATCTGGCAGCAGGCAGGAGCATTACCAGTCATCTGGATGAGGGTGTGGAGGGGCAACTCATTAAATTTGCAGACGACACCAAATTGGGAGGAGCAGCAAACACACCGGGAGGTAGAGATAGAATTCAAGGAGATCTGAACACGCTGGAGAAGTAGGCCAATGAGGAGGAGGAGATTAGATGTATACCCCGCCCTTCACTCGGAGTCTCAGAACGGCTTACAAACTCCTTTCCCTTCCCCCTCCCTACAACAGACACCCTGTGAGGTAGGTGGGGCCGAGAGAGCTCTGAGAGAACTGCTCTTTCAAGAATGGCTCTGACAGAACGATGGCTTGCCCAAGGTCATCCAGCAGCTGCAAGTGGAGGTGTGGGGAATCAAACCTGGTTCTCCCAGATTAGAGTCTCCGCACTTAACCACTACACCAAACTGCCTTAAACAAGGATAAGTGCCGAAATCTACATCTGGGTAACAAGAATGGGGAACACACATACTGGATGGGGGCTACACTTCTGGGTGGACTGAAAGTTAAATATGAGCAGCCAGTGTGATGTGGTAACAAAAAAGGCTAATGCAATCTTGGGGTGTATCAACGAAGGAATAATCGATGCAACTCCGTATCATGAGAGGGGTTGGCGTGATGTGGTCGATTGACTGATTGATAACAGAGGAATAACATCCAAATCGCAAGATGCCTTAGTCCCACTGTACACTGCATTGGTCAGGCTGCACCTGGAGTATTGTGTGCAGTTCTGGAGGCCTCACTTCAAAAAGGATGTGGACAGAATGGAGCGGGTGCAGAGGAGAGCGATGAGGACGACCAAGCCCTATGAGGAAAAGCTGAGGGACTGGGGAAGGTTCATTCTGGAGAAGAGGAGGTCAAGGGGGGACAGGATTGCTTTCTTTAAGTATTTCAAGGGCTGTCACTCAGAGGAGGGCAGGGAGCTGTTCCTGTTGGCAGCAGAGGAGAGGACTCACAATAATGGGTTTAAATTAAGGGCGGGAAGGTACCAGCTGGATATTAGGAAAACCTTTTTGACAGTAAGAGTTGTGCAACAATGGAATCAGATGCTTGGGGC